CCCTACCCCCCCCACTCCTCCTGTTGCCAGTGACGACGCTTCGCCTCGTTCCCTCCGGGTGAGTAGGGGCCGAATAACCCCGGGGCGACGAGGGGTTCCGATGGGTGGGCATGGGGGGGGTCAGATGGGTACAATTACACGCTGCAGCAAAGAGGAGTCCTTGTCCCACCTTTGCTGCACGACCTTAGGGGGTGGGGGTAGTCCTTCGTGCACCACCTCACTCCTCTGGTCTGGCTGGGCAGTAGGGGGCAGTACTGACCTACCGGGGTCAGACTGAGTACTTGGGAAGAGGCGAGAAGAACGCCATAAACCAACCTGTACCTCCTGCACCTCCTGCACCATGGACTACTTCGTACAGGAAGAAGTATTAAATGTACGATGGAGAATCAAAGGTTGAACAGCCTGCTTAGTTTTTGTAAGAACCTCTTGTTTCTAAAGCATCAAGGTACGAATGTGAATCAAGCTTTTCTCGCGGGCGGCTTCTCTGAAAAGCTCCGATTGCCTGTTTGAAAATGTCAGAGGTAGATGACCACTAGTGGACAACATCAAATAGTTCCTCTGTAAAAATACAAAGCGCATCAAACTGCCAGACAACACAGAGCGGGCCCCCAAAAGGCAGAGCGGTGCGCATTCTCTCTTTACCCTCAGCCGATCAATCACAATGAAATCTGTAATCTGGCTCCCGGGGGCCAATCAGCATCTAAAGACACTCAAAAAGCTCCTGGAATGTTTCGCTGTCTCCGTTTCACATCAGACACACGGACACAAAGACGCATGTCCTCTGGGCCGCGACCCCCCGCCCCCCCCCCGCCGGCCTGCGCTCAGCAGGTAGCGACGAACCACCCGATAGCTAATCCGTCCCGAGGTGGAGCTTTCCTGAACAGAGGGCTCGTTTGTGACAACAGGAAGTGGACACAATGTTGCCAGAGTAAGCACATTAAAAAGGGTGCCACATGCATGCACGGATGCATGCATGCATGCACGGATGCATGCATGCACACATGGCTGCACGCATCTGGCTGCAGTTTCAGACGCAGCACATCGCAGACAAGACAAAGATGCCTCTGAACAACAAGCAGCGAGGTGAAAGAATCAGGTGTGAAGAAGTGGGCACACTGGGACGCTGTTGGGTCTCGCAGGCCCCCGACCGTCTTCCCAAATGCTAGACTTTTTCTCTGCGTCGTTCACAATCCGAGGTTGAATGCTGGGCATTGTGGGTCCCCCCCCCCCCCTCAGTCTGTGGTGTCTTTTTTGGAGTACGCTCAAGAGGCCGAGTCAGCACACCACACTGACCTGATTCAGAAGGAGGTGGAGAGCGTTTGAGAGACCCCCCCCCCCCCCCCCCCCTCCTCCCCATCTCCTCATCGCGCTGCCTGGACCACCTCACCAAAAACACCCGAGGATGACGATGCAGCTCTGAAATATCGTCAGCGGAGAGAGAAGAGTGGACGAACTCCAGGAAAGACCAACCGCTTGGTTTGATGTAGTGAGGGAAAACAGCTGACTGGATACAGACCTCCATGTTTTTCTTTCTGCAGTTAGCAGACGTTTCTATAGACGTAAACTAGAGACTGAGACCAGGAACTCGTGTTTACAACGTTTACTGAGGGAATAAATCAAGAGAGAAGTAGAGCAGAGTGGAAGCGTTTGGAGCATTAAACGCCAAAAGGACGCATCCAACTCGCTCTGCTTCTAATTTCGCAGCCATTAAAGCCAAAGCATTTCCAATGTTTCGCTTCAGTGGGCCGAGCCATCGATTTAGTAGAAAAGATGCTTCGTGGAACGTTTAAAATGCAGCACGTGCAAATTACTGGCGGAGCGACTTCATCGAGCCTCCGCGCAATCAGGCGATTAGGGGTGAGTGACGCACCCCCCCCCCCCAGGAGGGAGGAGAGGGGAGGCGGGAGAGGGTAACGACAACAGGAAGCGAGACGAGATCTCGCCCTCCGGCCTGGCAGCCCGTCGCCTGCGTTGGAGAGTTCCCTCTCTGTAAACAGGCCTCTCTCTGACTATTAAACAGATAGTACATTAGGGGAGGAACAACGTAAACACAGCCGTCCCAGGGCACCGGGGGGGGGCAGCTTGAGACGGGGGCCATTCCTTTGAGCGACCTCCCCCTCTCCCGCTGTAATCTTCTTCAACCAAACACAGGAAGGAAGAGATAGGTAAATAACCCTCTTCTGATAAACCTCGATGTACTTCCAGCTCTGCCTCTTCCAGCTCATCACGCTAAAACGATGACGTGGCGTTTGTAGCGTTGGCGGCGAGGCCTTCCTCAGGAGAACAGAGCGTGTGACTTTATAATCTGGTTGCCGGGTTGGAAAAGCTTCCGGTCAACGCAACATATTTTGGTCCCTTTATACGTTTCGAGCTTGAGGAGCAGAATCTGGTCGTGTGGCGACGTGTTGATTTGTTTTTCTCGTTGTGGTTAGTTGGTTCTTTGTCAGTCGGATCCATTCGCCCTGCGTTGGTTAAGTTGACAGGTCACTCGACCTTCTCAACCTTCTAACTCATGAAGTGGTTTCCATTGCTTGGCAATATCTCAAAAAGGGTCGCCGAGGGGTTCGGAGGAGAGGGATCAACGGAAGACGAGAGGCAGACAGGAGTTGATCCCTCGGTGTGTAGCTCCAGGGCTGGGGGGCTTCGGAGAGGATACACTGGGTCTGTGTGTCTCTGGAGGGGGGGGGAGACGGTCAGTCCAGATGTGAGGCTGTTAAACAGTAGGGCGCTGGAGAAGGTCAGTGGCTGGACATCTCAGGGGCACTGCCCCCGAGTCATTCACACCCCTGTGTTACAATCTACAGCCAGAAACCAGGACCCCCAACCCCTCTCTGTTGGGAGGGGGGGGGACCCACCAGAGATGGAGAATAAGGGGAATGTCTGGGATGTGGGGACAGAGTCCATACCCTGGGGAAAGGCCCATTACAGGCTTACAGACCCCCGTCTGGCAGGCAGCGCAGATAAGATGAAAGTTGCTCGGGACCAATATCAACATTTTTCCTTCTGTCGCCGTAAGTAGTGAAAGAATCCAGATGTTGCATATGACATAATATATATACATACAACTTCATGTTAAGCTGTCTGTGGAGTGGCTTTACGATGACTCGTTTTATTGTCCCGTTTCAGACTTATTTAAAAGGCATCTACACGTCAGAGAATATCCAGGAGGGGTCGGGGGACGCAGGTCAAAGGTCGCCCGTCTTTAAGCCAGCGCAGGCTGACACTGTACAGCAGCAGATAACAGAGCACGAGGTCCCGCAGGCTCCAACGTGGCTGCAGGACCTCAACCCACATTTCGTTTTATTCACATCCACAGAAAGAATGACATGTGTTGTTGTTCTGGTTAAATGTCACTTGCGGCGCTGTTGGATTGCTTTGTTTTGAAAGGCTAAGCGCCAAAAAATATGGATGGAATCAGAACATTTTGGAGGAGTTGAGTTTTGGAAAGAATCCCATCCTGTCCTTACGCTCAGGAGCTGGTTTACATGTTTGGATCAACAAACAGCCGCTGGAATCAAACCCTTCAAGTCGTGAAATAACAGAGCGGCCCGTTTCCGTCCGAAGCTGAAACGCAGATTAATAAGGATCCATGCGGGGCGGCCCGCATGTCCTCACTGCGACCGGGGGGGGGGCCACAGCGTCTGCGGGGGCGCGCCCTGCTAATCCCAGCGGAGCAGAAGCAGCGGGCTGGGGTGACGGAGGTCAGCTCCTCTCCGCCACACACACGCCGCTGTCCTCGGCGCTCCGTCCAGCGGCGTGACGGACTCGTGAAACCCAAAGGAAAACCCCCCCACCTTCAGACAGGGCAACGAGAAGCTGCAGCGGGGGAGGGGCGGTGGGTGGAGGTGGAGGTGGAGGCTCGGCCCCCGTTGGTGGGAAAGCTAGCGTGCTGCTGCTGCTGCTGTTCTGGGAAAGCAGCTTGAAAGGGGGAGTCTGTTGAGCTTCGGGCTGCGCCCCCCCAGCAACGAACACCTCCAGCAGACACATTCTGCAGCTGAGGGTTGGAGCCGGACCAGAGACGCTCAATACCAGCCATTCAGACCCAGAGACACCAAATAGAGACCCAGAGAGGCCCCCCGCCAGCACGCCGGCCTCCTTCACCACATCTGCAGTCTGACTAACTAACAATCATTTAAATTGTCAAGTAATGTTTCATTAACTGTTTTTGGTCGATGAATAAAATTACAAATTCCAATTGGTGTTTTCAACACGACGTCCTTCAAATGTCTCATCGCCCCCCCGCGTCCCCCGCTGGACAAACAGGGCTGAAGAAGGCGTTTCATCCCGGCCATTTTGTAACGTAATTAACTTCTCTCAGTCCACGTTGAGCCAAAGCAACAAAATAAAAAAAGGGCAACCTCACATGGAAATTAAAAAAACAGAAGGGAGGGGGGGGTGGAGGCCGGGGGGGGGGGGGGGGGGGGGGCACACAGAACTCATTTCCCTTAATGCCTCACTAAAGCGCTCTCATCACGCTCAAGGCCCAATTGTGAGATCCAGGAGAACGCGGCCTCCTGGATATTAGGAAAACAGCCCCCCCCCCCCTCGGCCTCTCCATCAGACTTACCGTCCAACCGATCCACACTCACGTGCACATCCGCCTCCGTCAACTAGACCCCCCCCCACCACCCCTCCCTCTGGTTGTTTCCCTACAAACACAAACTGATCTCCTTCATGAGTGACGTTTCTTTCTCCTTTGTCAGTTTAACAGTTTAACTTACGACCCACAAGCCCCCCCCTACCTGCTGAGCTTCTCTCTCTCTCTATATATATATAATATTCATAACCATGTTCATGCAATCACCTGACACTAAGAGTCAGAGTCTGGCCGCCATGTTTCTGCGGGTCCTCGGCCTGCTAATAAACAAGCTCTGTGAAGAATGTTGTTTGTACAGATTTGATGAAATATCAAATAAAATGTCATAACCGTCATTGGGAATGACGGAGTTCTCCACGTTTCCATGGCGACGCCATGGCAAAGTGACAAAAGGAGAACCGACCTGCAGCAGCAGCCTCTCGAAGGCCAAGCAGGCGTCCCAGCGCGGCAGGCCGGGGTGTCCCAGGGTCTGCGCCGTGGCCAGGCCCAGCTGGAGAAGCCCCCCGTGGCTCTCCAGCGCCCCCCCGCATCCCCGGAAGAGCCTCACGTAGGAGGAGAGCTGCTCAGGGGTCACTCGGCCTGAAGGGGGGGGGGGGGGGGGGGGGGGAGAAGACACACCGGTGTTATCAGAGGATAAAAAAGAAGATAAAACCTACATGGTTGCCATGGAAACGAACACATTCATTCCTCCCGACTCTTCCCCAACAGGACAAACAGGGGGACAGAAATCAGGACCTTTACTTTGGAGGGGCGTGGACAGCAGGCTGTGTGCGTCTGATGAGAGACGTGTTGATTAAAGAGTGTAAATTATAGATAGTTTAGGTAGGAAGGGCTGGAACGAGGGGGGGGGGGGGGGGGGGCATATTAACTCCCCACCAAGCCAACTTCTTCATGTTGATGTTCTGAACCAGCACCAGATGTGGGAGTACTTCCTGTCGGACTACACGGTCAATGTTTGCTTTAGTGGGGCCAAACACATGATGGCTGGAAGAGAAACAGACGGCAGATCCTCAGAACATCGGTTACGCCGGATGACAAAATGATGGCAAATACGTCTGGAGAAGCTCCTTTCCACGGGGAAACGGACTTTCTGACACGTTGTCAGCATGAGACGCATCATCCTACAATAAAAAGGATTTCCCTCTCTTGCTGGAAGTCTTTTTCAGTCCAGACGTGTTCAAAAAAGTCCTGAAAAGCTCTATTGTGAGCACATCCAGCCATTAGATCCTGGCGGGGAAAAACCCAAGGTTGGCTCAGCTCAACGTGCCAACAAAAATTCAACACAGAACCCGGGTAATGCATCCAGCGCTTAGTCCGCCCCCGAGAAGAGGCAAACGCAGACAGAAGGACTGAATGCAGAACATGTTAAACAACACAACAACAGACCAGAGGCTGTTCTCCATCAGAGGAGCAAAGCTCGTATCCACGTCACCAAACAGACGAGAAAAACAACGAGGCCGTCCCGTTGGTCCACGGAGACGTTTTCCTTTGGGGGGGGGGGTTAAACGGCGCCGTTTAGGTGGTTCTAAACGGGTACAGTTCCTGTGAGGTCCTGTTTAAGATATTTCAAGTCCAGCCACAACATCTGGAGGGGAAAAGCAAAGCTTACGCACAAGAGCCAGAAACCGCAGTTCTTCAAACGGCCACTTGAGGCGCTTCACACCATTCGACCATTTTAATGTAGTTAAAGTAGAAGTTTTATTTTTTTTCAATGTGCGATTGAGCTAGCTGGCTCACAATAGATGTGGGAGAGGATATGACCCCTTACACAATTTGAGTCATAAATCATTTATTTTATTAACTGACGAGAGAACCTCAGTTAATTATTTGAGTCGAGTTATATTATTTATCAGCGCGTTCGTTTCGTTCACAGGCGCTGCAAATGTTTCCATCTACGACGGCGCTGAAGGGAACAAAGGAAACCCGAACCTCTGCGCCGCTTTATTGTTCTTCTCGGTGCACTTAGTTGCAGGAGGAGCCATAAAACATCTATAAACTGACCCATTTCAGCCCGATGTGCAGAAGTGGCGACTGAGGTCTCTGCCGTGATCAAAGTCCTCGACAGAAAGAATAAGAGAAAAGGACAAAGCGATGATGAAGCCTCCGGGAGGCCAAGTGGCCTCACAAGTACTTCTACACGGAGGAGACGCTTTTATTTATGCCTCATAAGAAAAGTTGTATCTGTGGCTGCATGTTGAGGCCTCGGGTCTCTGATGCATTATGAACTCAGAATGAGCATTTCATGACATAAGGTCTGCAGACGCTCATTGACTTCCATTAACTTCCATTTGTAAAGTCAAATATTGAAACCATGAGTTTTACATCTGTGAAGCGAACCAACGGCCGCAAACAGAAAAAAAAAATGTTTTCTTTCAACTAATCTGAAAGAAGCCAAAAAGGATCAAAAACCTGAGACACAAAACATTTTTAAAATAAAATAAAAACGGCAGATGTAATGCGTTAAAATACAAAGGGACACATCTTTCAAGAACTGATAAAACTCCCAAATGTTGCGACTTGAAATGATGAACGTAAGCAAGTCGGGAAGGAAGCCCGTCAACATGTGTGCACTGCAAGCACACAATGAATATATAATTATATATATATATATATATATTATATATATATGCATACACACACTTTCTGATGCACACAAACACAAAAACGTGCACATATAAACACACTTTATGAGGACGATGAAACCAAAGCTGTCTCACTAATTCTCTGCAAAGAGCAAAAACACCAGAGAAAAACACTGAACTCTGTGTGTGTGTGTGTGTGTCTGTGCGCACACACACACATACACACACACACGATGGAATTTCATCATCCTATTGTGCGGTGAGAAACCTGACGGGTCACACTCAGGCTCTGAGAAATGGATTATTTTCTCTGTCTCTCTCTGGATGATCTTATCCCATCGAGATGAAAAGAAGCCAAGTGGAGTCCAGTGAGTGTGTGTGTGTGTGTGTGTGTATTATTTATATGCATAAACCCGATGAGGGGAAGATTCTGTGGCCTCCTACAGAGTGAGTGAGTAGATGGGTATGAATGCTGAGTAAGTGAGTGTGCATGTAAGTGGGGGGGGGGGGGTGTCTGTACTGGGGGGGCTTCATGGAGTCCGTCTCCCTCTCTGCATCAACGTGTGAAAGGAAACCACGGTGTGCGCGCGGTGTGTGTCTGTGTGATGTAGAACACATTACAACCTGCTCGTTACGCCAGGCGAAGCCGCCTTTACCTCTCAGATTAGAGGCGCTGGGGGACCGCACGGCCCCTCCCTGTCTGCCAGATGCTAACCTGCACATTAGCGCCGTGTGTGTGTGTGTGTGTGTTGTACATCCATTACCTCTGCGAGTCAGAGGGTAGCAGAAGAAGTGAGCGTGCACGAGGCTACGTGCACGAGGGCATGTAATGACTTTATTTTTGCGTGCCGGCACATATTTTTATCCATTCGCTTCATTAACGAACAACAAAGGTTTTCAAGAGCAGCGTGTGTGTGTGTGTGTGTGCGTGTGAGTCAGCGTGTGTGTGTATGTGTCAGTGTGTTTGTGTTAGTGTGTCAGTGTCTGTGTGTGTGTGTCAGTGTGCGTGTGTGTTTGTGTTAGTGTGTATGTGTCAGTGTCTGTGTGTGTGTCAGTGTGCGTGTGTGTGAGTCAGCGTGTGTGTGTATGTGTCAGTGTGTTTGTGTTAGTGTGTCAGTGTCTGTGTGTGTGTGTCAGTGTGCGTGTGTGTTTGTGTTAGTGTGTGTCACAGAGCCAACATGTGGTTCACATTTCCTCTGTGGCCACATGGGTGAACACCAGCTGCTGTCAGCAGGGGGCGCTGTGGTTCTGAGAATGTCGATGTTCACACATTTGTTTTGACTTTATTCACTAATATTTGCTGTATTTCGTAGTTTTATTTGACGATTATTGGTCCCCCCCCCCCCCCCGTACATACATGTAAATAACTTCTTACCCATGCTCATCTTGATGGGCAGCTTCTCCTTGCTGGCCGTCTCCACCAGCGCCCGCTGGACCTCCATCACCCCCTCTTTGTGTTTACTGGTCAGCATGGTCTCCCATAGCGACTGAGCTGCAGGTGACCTGCAGATGAATAAATGAATGAATAAGTGTTGCAACAGCACAAAGGACTCCAAACATGAACGTACAGCCACAACAGGGACGGGAGTGAGAGCTCGTCAGCAGTCAGGGGGCCGGGTCGGGTTGGTGAGGGGGCCGGGTCGGCCTGGTCGGCCTGGTGAGGGGGCCGGGTCGGGCTGGTGAGGGGGCCGGGTCGGCCTGGTCGGGTTGGTGAGGGGGCCGGGTCGGCTTGGTGAGGGGGGCCGGGTCGGGTTGGTGAGGGGGCCGGGTCGGCTTGGTGAGGGGGCCTGGTCGGCTTGGTGAGGGGGCCGGGTCGGGTTGGTGAGGGGGCCGGGTCGGGTTGGTGAGGGGGCCGGGTTGGTGAGGGGGTCGGGTTGGGTTGGTGAGGGGCCGGGTCGGGTTGGTGAGGGGGCCGGGTTGGTGAGGGGGCCGGGTTGGTGAGGGGGTCAGGTTGGGTTCGTGAGGGGGCCGGGTCGGGTCGGTGAGGGGGCCGGGTCGGGTCGGTGAGGGGGCCGGGTCGGCTTGGTGAGGGGGCTGGGTCGGCTTGGTGAGGGGGCCTGGTCGGGTTGGTGAGGGGGTCGGGTCGGTTGGTGAGGGGGCCGGCGGTTGGTGAGGGGGCCGGGTCGGGTTGGTGAGGGGGCCGGGTCGGGTTGGTGAGGGGGCCGGGTCGGCCTGGTGAGGGTATGTGGGAGGAAAGAAGCTGAAATCACGGTCATCTCAATGTTCCTCTGCACTCGTTACCATCACGAACCGTCTCCACCGGGACACCGAGCAGTCGGGGGACACTTCTTTCAAAAATGGAGACTCGTTTGAATGTTAATGAAACGAAAACTGTCTCACGTCTCCTTCTTCCCTCCATGAGGAACCAAAAGAACTGCACAGAGAACGAGACAAAGAGAGGGGGATGGGGGGGAGGGCAACCAATCCACTCAATTTTGCTTTTCTTCCCTTTTCTCCCCTTTCTGACTGCCATGTGTTTAATATCAGATGTAATCTGTTCCAGACCTCAGGGCGGAGGGTGTGGGGGGGGGGCGGCTTGCTTTGGGACGCCTGCCATCTTCACACCAGAAACAGACACAGAAAAGACGAGAGTCCAAGAACTTCATAGGATGTCCAGACTGAAAAACCCTCCTGAACATCTCACTATTAGGAAGGAGTGAGGGGAGGAGCAAAGGAGTCGGGATGTTTTAGTGTAGTTACAGTGATCAGATTTAACAGTCGAGTTTTTTATCCTCATGTTGAACTTCATCCAGACCCTTCTGCTCAAAGAGAGAACGTCTAGAAGAATTGACACATGGTGCTACAGGGTGGTGCTACGTGGTGGTGCTACGTGGTGGTGCTACGTGGTGGTGCTACGTGGTGGTGCTACCAGAGGAACGCATCATCTTAATCCTGCAGGAAGGAATATCGGAACTGCATCGCGCAATAGCGTGAAGCCCTGCATACTCGTCGTGGTTGAAATGCCGACGGTTTGACTCGAACATGCGTGAGCGGATGCGTGTGTGTAAACATGCACAGTGTGTGTGTGTGTGTGTGCGTGCGCATTTTCCAGGACGTCAGAGTGGATGAAATATGTTTCTAATTTGGCGCCCTGCCGACCCCCCCTCCCCTCCCCTCCCCTCCGTGGACCCACTCCCCTTTCCACGGGCCAATTGGACAGACGAAGGCGGGGGGGGGGGTCCGCGGGCCTGAGGGGGGTTATGCTGGCAGGCGGTGAGACAGGCTACATGGCCAGAGAGGGAACGTTGTTGAGTAACGACTATGTTGAGGGAGGGTGAGGGGGGGTTGACCCTGGTTACAGACTGTAGGGGGCACTCTCGGACTTGTAGGCCCCCCGCATAAGGGTCGTACATTTGTGGGGGCAGGATGACGTTAAAAGAAGTGAACCACGAGCTCACGTTTAACGCTCTGGATTTCGGAGGAAAAGAGAAACACGGGTTCGCAGCGCAGCTTTTAAAGTGTCACCTCATCGGCTTCATCTGCTGCGTTTACTGTGAATCCATCGTGGCTTCAGTGTCGTACAGAAACGTGAACCTTTAGAGGAGAACCGTATGTGGAAATATCAAAGTTAAAGCATTGAAATACCTGGAGTCATTGATCAGTTCCTTGGGAGGGAGGGGGGGGGGGGGTGTATTCCTGGCAGTGCATGATGCAGCAGCAGAGAATGCTTTAACGGATCTGACTCAGGATTCCTTAAATGTTCCCCCCACATGACTCATGAAGACTTCCTGGACCCTTTCAAACCAATAACGCCCCCATAAGTGGACCAGAACATTATTTCATTTTTGTTTGGGGGGGGGGGGGGGGATTCCAGAGATTCCACTATCTCCCATAGATAACATCCCAATCCTCAGAGCAGGCCGATTCATCTCCGGTGCCCTTTTATCTGGGGAATTATCAGCTGTGTTTTCAGCTCTAAAGGAGAATTGAGATTATTTTAGTCCCAAATCGAGTCGTCACGTAAGATATCAGACGCGATGAAAGGGGAAAAGTTTAAGTTAAGTGTTACCTCCAGTGTTTAAGATATAACAACAAATTCTATATATGTATATATATATATATTGGAGAAACCAAGACAGTAGCTCAACATCTAACGTCACCCTGCGCGGCACACAGTCTGCAGAGGACCACCACTGCGTCCCTAAAAGACGCTGGTTTGAAGACGTTCTGACTAAATGTGGGAGATTGTTGGCTCTTCAAACACAGCCGTTAAATGATGGAGAGATGAGAGCAAAGTGCACGAGGACAACAGGAAGAGTCGCTAGTGCAACATGTTCCACCAGGTGGAATTCTGTCTCCAAGATCATGATCAATTGTGTGTAGTTTTGTGTTTCAAAGAACATTAACAAATAAACAACAGTGTCTAAAACACACACTTTCTAAAGTCATTACTTTTATGATTAAGTCTTCAGAAGAAAAACAAACGTTCATTAAAAACAACATTGTAACAACAACATTTGTTAATCGCCATTAATCGAGATTAATTGAATTGTGCGATTAATTGGTTAATTTTTTTAATCTATCGACTAATATATATATGTATATATATATAAATATAAGAGAGAGAGAGAGAAAGAGAGAGAGGTTTCAGTGTGCAGAAAGAAGCTCGTGGGAAGCAGTAACCGTAAGGATCGTATTCTCTTCAGGATACAACGTGATGAGCCCGTGTTTTTCTAGGATCGACATCCTGTGCATCTCTGCTCAGCAGCTCTGTTAAAACAAACCTTTAAATCCTCATAACGCGCTCAGCAGGCAGGCGGAGCTTCAGTGGAGCCAATGATGGAGCTTTGTTGGTTCCGAGCACAGAAGACTGCTACCAAGTAGGGAAACGGGACGGAAGCGCCTCAGAATCAACGTGGATCGTTTCATGTGTTCTCCGAGATGGCTCTCCTCAGCTGTCTGTCAGTTCCCCCCCCCCCCCCCTCCGCCTGCACTGAAAGGCTTCTTATTTACTGCTCAGACTTCCCAGCTGGGACAGAAATAGGTGTTTTCCCTCGTCTGCGAGCTCGGCTTGGCATAGACGGGCAGAACCCAGGAGCACCTCGGCCCACCCGCACTCAGCGACTCCCCGCCGCAGGATCAAGGCCGGGGCGCAGCCAGATGTGGGGGGGTGGTGCCTGTTGCCAATGTGGATGGAAACCACCCCCCCCACAAACCATACAGAACTACTTTCACTCAGAGGCCTTCTACCTGGTAACTAAAGAAGGCCGATAGTGCAGGAAGGGGGGGGGGGGGGGGAAGGATCTAAAGCAGATTTACTAAAATCACACAGTCAAAGTCAGGAGAATTCACCGGGTTATGAAAGATAATACGGCCAGTGACCGCAGATTGGGGGGGGTCTCGCATGGGAGGAGGCTAGAATCAACACCCACCCATAGAATGTTTAAAACACGGTAATCTCCAAAAATATCCTGGAATTACTGAAGGAAATATCGCAGAAAAACCAAAGGGTCCAAATTATGTTCCCCACCTGATGTTTAAAAGGCTCCAGCGGGTCCAACACACACACACACACACACACACACACACATACACACACACACACACACACACACACACACACACACACACACACACACACACACACACACACAGCATATGTATATTTATACAGCTATTATATGTATATTATATATATTATGTAATGTAACAGTGGTGACCTCCTCCTGGACACATCGAAGCCACACAGACAGTTTCCACACAACAAGCTCTCGAAAACCCCCCCAAAAAAAAACATTTGCGTAAAAGGCTGAAACAGGCTCAGGCAGCCACAGCTGGTCCCAGATCAGCTAATCCAGGGGTCCCCAAACTTTTTCCAGTGAGGGCCACATAACTTTTCCCTTCTCTGATGGGGGGCCAGGGTCAGTTTCTAACAGAAAAAGTGTGACATTCGCAGGGGTCCCAAATGTAATCATTTATTGTTTTCCAGAAAACATGCTGACACTCCAGCGCACCACACATATCCAAATATTAATAACCCTTTCTGAGATCAAATAACCCTCTCTGGGTTCTTCACAGAGAGTTTTGCTGTGCCATGCACAATCCTAGATAAAAGGTAAACTTCACTTGTCACAGCAGAATCTCAAATGTCTCTCAAAGTTCTTGTGTTCTTTGTAGGTTCCATAGGCTAGCCCAGTAGACACCACTGTAGGCTCCCTCTCATCAACTTCCCTCTGAAAAGCACAAAGCCAGCAGGCTAAGAAACCAAACTAAGTGATACAGCACAATGCATTTCAATACCAGTATGGTTGTGGAGATGGATTTTTATCCCAATAGATTTTATTATGATTACATTTGTTGATACACAGAATGACTGATATAAGTCAGAAAAGTGAGCTTACCTATGTACTGTGTGTTCATCAGTGTGAACTGTGGGCCTGCGTCTGGCTGGAGAGAAGTTGAATGTCCGGTTCCATTCTAGTCACAGCCAGTCTCAAACACTGATGCAAATGTTCATCTGTCAATCTTGATCTCGTTGGAGTTTTCAGGAGTATCATGCGTGAAAAGGTTTGCTCGCAGATATACGTGCTGCCAAAGAGTGTGGACATCTTCATTGCGTGTTGTTTTATGTTAGGGTAGGTGTCATTTGGGAGGGCGGCATAGAAGTCAATGAGACTGTTGGGCTTGAATGCGTCTTTCAGAACATCACAGTTCTGTAACTCGGCCAGCTCAAACTGATACGAAGGCTGGGCTTCATCGATGTCGGCAACAGAAGGGTTCTGAAAAAGACGGATTTCTTTTGCATGAACATGTAGTTCACGGAATCGTACACCGAACTCCGCCTTCAGCATTTCCAGTGCTTCCACACACTTTTCACCTGGGAACGCGACAGATGGCTTCTCTGGAGAAAAGCTTTGGGTAGCAGGGAGATGGGTGAAGTTGTGCTTTTTCACTTGTTCCAAAACCAGCCGTAGTTTCACTCAAATCCTTTCATGTGGGAATACATGTCGCAAATGAGTCTACCCCTTCCTTGTAGCTGCAAGTTAAGGCCGTTCAGCAGATCTGTCACGTCTGTAAAAAATGCGAGGCGCCATTTCCATGCTGGGTCGATCAGCTCTGGGACTGTTTTGCCTTTCGACTGAAGAAATGCGTTAACGTCAGGTAGCAGCTCGTAAAAAGGCCTCAGAACTTTGCCGCGGCTCAACCATCGGATCTCTGTGTGGTACAGCACACAGACTCCAGTTCAGACAGGAATTGTTGGAACTGCCTGTGTTTAAGTCCATTAGCTCTGATGAAGTTTATGCACAATACCACAACCTTCATGACAGAATCCCACTTCAACACTTTGCAGCACAGCGCTTGCTGGTGAATTAGGCAGTGTACTTGTAGCAGGGCGGTGAGACCCCGTTCCTCCATCTCCCGGTTCATGCGTCCTATTAAACCCCGAGACGCGCCCACCATACTAGGCGCCCCGTCAGTCGTGATGCTGGCAAGCTTTGCCCAGTCCAGATCCAACTGTTGCATGGTTTGACATACTTTGTCGAAAATATCCTCCCCAGTTGTAGTCCCTTTCATGCTTTGTAGGGCTGCCAGCTCCTCGCACTTCTCAAAGTTTGCGTTAACTCCACGAATAAAAATAAGAAGCTCCGCGGTGTCCTGCACGTCCGTGCTCTCATCCAGTGCTAATGAAAAACCTGAAAATCTTTAGTCTTCTGCTGCAGCTGGGCATACACATTACCCCCGATTTCTTCAACACGTCGGGTAATTGTACTTGCCGACAGACTCACGGCATTAAAGACATCTTTCTTCTCGGGACAGACCTCCTCCACGACAACATTCAAACATTTCTTGACAAACTCTCCTTCAGTGAAAGATTTACCGCAGCTCGCTATCAGCCGAGCAACACGGAAGCCGGCCCGAACTGATGCTTGGTTCAGCCGAGTTTGCCGTACAAATGTAGTCTGCTGAGCGAACAGTCCAGTTTTTAGCTTAGACATTTTTTCTGCTCGCATTTGGCCGTGCAGGCTAGCATACTTGTCTTTGTGACGGGATTCATAATGTCGGCGCAGGTTGTATTCTTTGAATACCGCCACCGTCTCTTGACAGACGAGACAAACAGCCTTTTCTTTCAACTGAACAAAAAAGTAATCATGTGTCCACTGCGGGTTAAATACCCTGCGTTCTGAATCAATTTTTCTCTTACCACACCGTTTTGCCATTATTGTGGAAGTTGCATTCCACAGAGAAAGTTGAGAACAAGCGTGTGTCTCGTTTATTTTTCACAACGGATGAAAAACAAGATGGCGCAGCCCTGTAATGCTCCCCATCAACGGGCTCTACGTCATCAACAACAACAGAACATTTAAAGGGACCGCGATCCGTCGAGCAGTCTTAATTACTTGTATGACACAACCATTTTACCATAACCATTAGCCTTTTTTCCGTCTCTATATTGTTCAGGGGGCCGGGTCAAATGTGGAGGCGGGCCGTATGCGGCCCGCGGGCCGTAGTTTGGGGACCCCTGAGCTAATCGGTACCTTCAAGCTGGAAGGTGTGAACTCATCTGAAGGACCCGATTGGCTGAGAAGTTTGATATGGAAATATTGTAACAATAGTTTAACTATTATTACGTGGTTGACCCATCGTGGGCTGGACATGATACTTATATTTATACATTTTATGACCCATATATGGACCCATTTTACTTTATTGACTTATCGTTTGATACGTGAACATGACAACATTCACGTTACTCACGATGCAACACGCGTGGATGCAGCATCGAGCAGCCGACACCGAACATGGACAGGACATCGGCTTGAATCAACTCACCGGAAAGAACTTTGTCTTAAAAAGTGCCCTGTGATTAACAATTCAATTATTCATTACTGTGTTTCATTAGAATTATTTGAGTGGATCATGCACTTTAAAAGCTTCATCTCAAGTGGTAATTACGGATTGATTCATTGACGTAATCATGACTGTAATTATTCAACGGTACTCCGCGAAGACAAAACAAGTTGTTCTTTTCTGCGGTGCGAGTTACACTTGTAACCAACATGAGACCCTCTGGTCGTCATGGATACTCACTGGGTCTGTGCCAGGCAGCCGGGCGCCACGGGGCTCTGGGAGTGGGGCGTTCGCTGCACACTGGTGAGCTCCAGCATGTCCACCTGTACGTCCGTCACGTGGCCAGGTAAAGGTTCCAGCACGGTCAGAATCTTCTCCACCAGGTTGTCGCCATGGTGACCAACGGCTCCTGAGGAACGGAAGAGGAACAATGGTCAGCTTTGCATAAACGTTGATGATCTCCGCTCTGCATGTGATAAACTGCTTGTTCCTCCTCACTGAGAGCAAAACACTCGACTAGATCTCCACTCTTTGCTGTCCTGCTCCTAAATGGTGGAAGGAGGTCTCTGAAGACATCAGGACCACAGAGAGCCTTCACATCTTCAGACTAAAGACACACCTCTTCAGACTCTACCTCCACTAACACACTAACTAACTGCAGCACTTACATTGGACTTATAATGGTTCTTATCTACAGCAAGTTGTACATCGGCTTATTTGATGAAATTGCACTTTATTGTTCTTTTGAGTTTGTATCCTAATGGTTAAATGCATTTATTGTGAGTCGCTTTGGATAAAGGCTTCAGCTAAATGACATGTGATGTAGATTGTGAGGTGGTTGGAGTCAATGTTTTGATACAATATTTATCCAGAGACGGAAAACATAACAATTAACCCAAAAGTAACCAAATTAAAATGTAATACACAGTTCATGACTAATCTTATACTTTTAGTAGTTTAGCAACATTCTCCAAGTCCGTCCAAGGAGTCACGATTATTCTAGTTGAATTCAATTTTTATTGAACTTGTAATCGGGCCGAGCAAATTAATAAAGACATGTCAAAATAAGATTGTTCAATGTTCCTGCTGAAATGTTATTCGAGGCTGAAATGTTAAGAATAAAGAAATGTGAATGAATAGATTTACAGTTCTAAAATAAAAATACATGAATACAATAATAAATTAAGTGGATAACACTGACCAACACATAAAGACGTCTTCTCATAGTGACTATAGATGTGTTACACACTATATTTGTGTCTATTATGGCTATTTTTCATTTGATTGACGTGTTCTTTAACTGAATTGTGCAAGAATGTTTTTATATACATGATTCGACGCTGGGGGGGCGCGCGCACCTGTAAGGTCCATAGTGCGGTCCACAAAAATGAGGGACGCTTTATTGTGGGCCGTCTTCCGCCGGCTCTTGGCCTGCGGGTGCGCGGCCAGTTCCCCGGCGATGACGCGGCTCATGGGCCCCACGGCGAAGCTCTCCTCGCGCGCGCCGCTCGCCTCGAGCAGCGAGTTGAGCGCCGCCGCCAGGGCCTTGACGTCCAGCTGCAGCTGCGCGGGGAGCGCGTGCGCGTCCACGTCCGCCAGGCCGGCGAGCCGCCTCTTCTCGGGCCGCCGCGCGTTGATCGCCTCCAGGTCGCGCGCGAGCAGCGGGAACAGGTGCGCGTAGGCCGGCGCGAGCAGCAGCTGCTGCCGAGACACCGGCGCGAAGACCACCGGCGCGTACGCGACCTCCGCCGCGCCGTCCGAGCCGCCCATCCACTCGCGCAGCTTCTCCTCGAACTGCTCGAACACGACGCGGCGCTCCGACTCCGCGGACGCGCCGCCGGCGGCGAGCAGGTGCACCGGGTGGGCGACGGCGGTGAGGACGACGCAGCACCGGAAGCGGCTGAGGGACACGATGTCTCGGATGACGTCCACCGCGCGGCCCCTCAGCAGGGTGCTCACCACGAACACGGCCTTCGGCTCCTTCTCGCCGCCGGCTTCGAAGCTGGAGAACCGCTTGACGTCCCGCGCGCCGGCCTCGAACAGGCGGGCGGCGCCTCCGCACCAGTGGAGGGACTCCGCGCACGCGTCGTCCATGAAAACGACGGCCTCGTTTACCTTGGTCAGCACGGCCTCGTCCCACGCCGCGCGCGGGAGCTGCGTGAAGTCCTCCGCGGTGGACATTGTCTTTGTTATTCGCTGTCAGCCGGTGGGAGGATCTGGTAAAGAGACAGCTAGCCGGCACGCAACGCAACACAACAAACACACGGATCTCCTGGTGGTGACGTGGCGAGCGCGCGTCGCAGCATAAAGACGTCATTTAAAGGGCTGACCCGCTGCTAGGCAACGATAACCAGAACGAGCCACCGGAAGTGTGTTGACCGATTATTCACATTCAGTTCATATTAATTACTTTTATTACATTTTATTAGTGTCACTAATTCATGCATAATTTTAATAATAAATCTAAAATATAAAAACGGACTAAAGAAACGTCTGATGTCAGCAGTTTATTGCAGTTGGTGAATGACAGAACGTGGTCACGTGTCGCCATAGAAACGCACCAATTTGACTGAGACGAACGGACGGGAGCAACTACCCCGCTAATTACCCGACATAATTGTTATATTTATATTATTAGTTCTGATGTATGTTTGTTTGCTGCCGTTTCAACAGTAACATGTATTCATCCGAGTCTGACTCCGAAGTTCTGCCCGAAGATAACGAGGAAGGAAAACTATATCAATGTGAGTTTTAACGGACGAACAGGCCGTTAATACAAGTTAATATACGGTTCTATCCAGTTTATTTTTCGGCTTGAATATAAAGAATAGTATCGTTAACCAGTGGTGGAGTAAATATAACTAATCACATCTTTAATTTAGTGAAAGTAGAAATAAACTCACTAATATTACAAGTGAAAGCTCAAAATGTTAACACTTTGTGTTATATCATCATAGAACGTATTATTATGTCAAAAGTCACAGATTAATTAGAGAGATATTAGTTTACGTACAATCAGCCCGTTGGCTTTGGTTTATTTGTGTGTGCGCGTGTGTGTTTCAGTGATTTATGAACTGACCACAGACGACAAGGACCAAAATGAGGAGGTTCAAATCCCGTCCAGGTGTTGTAAATACTACAATTCAGTACACTATTAATTAGACTTCTAATTCTAATGCAATGAAATGACACCGCATTTAAATACAATTTGCAAAACACGAGCCGTCTCAATGAGAGAAAACGTGCAGTTATTGATGCTTTTATAGTTATTGAAATCTGTCCGTGGTTTCCGTCTGACTAAATACGAGCCTTCAGTCAGAATGCAGCTTTCACACTCTTTCCTGCAGCATTTAGGTGTTGCATTTGCAAACAGGCGTTTTTGAAACGAGGTCGTTGGCGCGCGGCGTTTGTCAGTGTCACGTGATGGAGGCCAGCTGCTTGCTGATGTTTCTTGCAGCTCCAGGAAGTCGCCTGTGGACGTCCGCGCAGACGGGACGGTCGGTAAGCTGCTGCTGGGGTCACCTCGATGGCGCAGTGACGTTGCTCTTTAGCCCCGCCCCCTCGCCAGATCGGGGGGGGGGGGGGGCGGGGCTCCAGACCTTTCTTTAAGGGTGTGAATAACAATAACAATGAATAAATATAATTCTGATACTATTGTTGGTATTGGTATTAGCTTTGTGGGCAGTTAAGGTACAAGTCATGTTATTTATGTTATTATTTTCATTTATTTCTGATATATATGTATATATTTCACACAATGTCTTTCAAAACAAACAAAAAAAGAAAACCTGACGGTTCCGTTCACAAAACGTCACACAACCACAGGCAGAAGCCAGAGAGACAACTCATGGGGTAAATATAATATAGTATGTATATAAGTCATGAGCTCAGCTCAATGGTTTCTGATGAGATAATAAGCATTGATCACTGATTACCTGCTCCTCAGTTAATGACAGGACGAGGGGACACCACATGCACACGTGGGTCACCAGAGGAGTCTCCGGCCAGCCCTGGGGGAGAGGCCCAGGGAGGGACCCGGGGAGAGCCCCCCCCCCCCCCTCGGTTCATCTCTCCCGCAACCCCCCCCGCCCCCCCCTCGCTTCAACCCGCCACTGCTTCGCTTCCAGGTGCTGTGACCTCGGACTACTTCAACTACGGCTTCAACGAAGAGAGCTGGAAGCTCTACCAGAAGCACGCGAGAATCAGACTCGGCTGCAGAGGCCCGGTACGACGTCACCCGGGGCTCCGCGTCCCAGCATGCACCTGGCTGTCCCGTCTCTGTGAATGAGCGTGAGGTCAGAGGGCAGAAGAGGAGTGTGACGTTGTTGTTGTTGTTGCTGTTGGTCTCAGGTCCAGAAGGGGCGCACTGCTCCAGAAGAGACAGCCCCCCCCGGCGGCCCGCCCCCCCCCCGGGCCTCCAGGTCGGTAATCATTCTCCTCCCCGTGACGCCACAGCTGGTAGTTTGTGTTCGTCTCTCTGGGCGAGTGAGGGAACCCTTCATATGAACTATTTACATTTGACATCTTTCTCGTTATTTATTTATTTGTTTGTTCAACCAATTAAAGAAAGAAGACAAAAGGGTTTGATGAGACACGTGCAAAAAACAACCTCTATCATGTAGAATGTGATGCGCTCAATGAGGCGCTGGTAGCGCAGGATAGGGGAAAGTGTGTGTGTGTGTGTGTTTCCCACCCTAACAAGCTGTTGTGTTATCATTTCATTGGCTGTGTGTTTTAGGGATGAAGCGAGTTCCAAGCAGCTCAAAGTCGTTATTCCATTTTCTGTATGTTTTCCTCTGCTGATGATTAAGTCCCAGTGACAGAAAGAGGTTATTGTCCCGTGTGTGTGTGTGTGTGTGTGTGTGTGTGTGTGTGTGTGTGTGTGTAATGAAGAGTGCAGGGGGGTTGTGAAGAAGTGAGATGACCCAGATCGGCAGCTTTGATGCGTTAATGGACCTGAATCCTGTTTTCATTTTATTCTTATGTTACATAAGTGCTCATCAGAAGAGGAACATGAGAAATCGCTTCAGGATCTTTTTTAGCGCTGTATTGAAAAAAGGTTTCATCATGTGACCCGACCGCCAGACGGCCGATTGATCCTGACGGGACCGGAGGACGAGCGGGACGCAGAGGGACGGTTAGAGGGCCCCGGACCCCCGAGGATGAAGGCAACAGCTCCCAGGTAGCGTGTGCGTGTGCGTGTGACAGGGGCCGACAGCCTTTCATACCTGTGTCTCCTCTGCAGGTGGACGTGTCCCCGGACGAGGACGGATTGGCTTTTCTTTATCGGTTGCCTCGACCCGACTTCAGTTCTCCCGTTGCATTCGTCCCTCCTCCACGTAAGTCTCTGAAGGCTCAAAGGGCACGTCTGGGACCCCGTCCCGCATGTTCCTGGGGACAGTCGATGTCGTTGGCCCCGTACGGAGTTTCTGCTCGGATGGTCTAACGTGACGGAAGGAACCATCAAAGCGGCAGAAACAAGCCCCCCCACCAATAACACAGTTACTCTTTCATTGGAAAATATCCTTGGTATTATCTTTCCTCATCCGATGGCACCATATTGAACAGATGAGTTGTCTCTTGAGGGGGGGGGGGGGGGGGGCTCTCACTGGAACCCGGTGGGGGCCACCTCACCGCGCGTGCACAAATAGCCAT